GGTCACATTCAGGAACATCTTTGCAGAGGATTCTCCGGACCATCCTGAAACTGGTTGCAAATATTGCGCGGTTTAGGGTTTAGGGTTTAGGGTTTAGGGTTTAGGGTTTAGGGTTTAGGGTTTAGGGTTTAGGGTTTAGGGTTTAGGGTTTAGGGTTTAGGGGGGGGGGGGTGTCGGGTTCCAAGCATGGGCCGCAAGGGTTTAGGGTTTAGGGTTCAAGGGTGTCTGGCCAGGGGGTAGCGGGTTCCAAAGGCCGCAGGGGTTTAGGCTCTTTTCGCACTTTTGGAGGGGTTGACAGTCGAGGCCTTCGGTTTTTGTTTTTGGTTGGAGGTCAGGTGTTTGGGGGGCAGGGTCTGTTTTGGCACACTTGCTACATTTGCGCGCATGCGAGGGGTAGTTTTTGTCCTGACATTCTTCGTGTTTACTCGCTAGCAACCGTGCGTTCAACCCAGCCCGAAAAGGATTGTTGTACGGTTGTGCGTGTCCTCTTTTGCGATTACCCGCTTGAGGTTTTGGTGGATATACTTGCTTCTCCTGCGTTAACCGAAAAGTGTTCATTATGCGGCGTCTGCAGCATTGCGAACCCTAAACCCTAAACGACCAAAACCCTCGAAACTCCAACGGTTCTCTGGTGTAGGCAAATCAGGATTTGGTTACGGATCGAAACCCCAAAAGCTGCAATGCAGAGGCTTGAAGATCCCTCTACCCCTTCAGGTTTTTGCTGGATTTCGTCGTTTTCGTGGCCTCACACCCCAAACCCAACAATGCGTGGAAGTTCCACTGTAGACCAGCTTAAGCTGGAGTAACCCGAAACCCGAAACCCGAAACCCGAAACCCTAAACCCTAAACCCTAAACCCTAAACCCTAAAACCCAAACCGCTCAAGATCGGATCGCTCTTTCTTCACTTCCGTTGTCTTCTGAAGAACGTGCGTGAATCTGCCGCTACCCGCGCCATGTTGAGAAACCTGGGCCATAACCCCAGCGTTTAGGGTTTAGGGTTTAGGGTTTAGGGTTTAGGAGCAGAAAAAGGCCAAGCCGACTCAACTGTTTCTTGCGGCAGCAAAAATGGTTCCCAAGGAGTGTGACGACACTGCTGTTTTCGACGTGCCTGTACGGTTCTAGGACCCAGAGTAGGCCCTTCTTCTCCCTTTTTTTGGTGCTTAGGTTCCCTTCGAAGCCCTTTCTAAGACCAAAAAGGCTACCCTCTTTTCCTAGGGGTCTCACCCTAAACCCTAAACCCTAAACGGCCCTAAACCCTAAACCCTAAACCCTAAACCCTAAGAGTCCTTGGCGCCCAGGACGGCGAAGTACATGTTGGTGGTCTTGAGCGGCGGCATCTTGCAGGATGAAGCCTTCTTGGCCATGCTCGAGGTGCCTGATTTAGGGTTTAGGGTTTCGGGTTTAGGGTTTAGGGTTTAGTGTTTAGGGTTTAGGGTTTAGGGCCGCCTGACGCCCAAAATCTTCGGGTTTAGGTTTGGGGCTTTAGGGTTTGGGGGGGTGGCCTTTGGGACATTTTGGAATGTTCTTTACTTGGGTTTACGAGGATGATATTTGTGTCCTTTTTTGTGCGGGGGCTCTAAGGGGCCAACCTAGTCAGGAGTCCTTATCTGGCTTGAGCAAAAACATGAAATCTCTTCTCCTGACTATCCCTAACCCCTAAACCCTATAAACCCTAATCCCTATGATCATGTCAAGAATTCTGTTCAAGCCCTCAGCCTTGAAACCCTGAACCCTCAAACCCTGTAACCCTTAAGCCCAGTTTAGGGTTTAGGAGTTTTGTTTGGCATAGTTAATTTGGATCACCCCCCGCCCCTGATTTCCATACTTCAGGACTTTATGGGGTTTAAAGTTTAGGGTTTAGGGTTTAGGATTTGGGGTTTAGGTCTCTTAGTGACTGCGTGACTTTCTGGGGTTAAGGGTTTAGGATTTAGGGTTTAGGTCTCTTAGTGACTGCGTGAGGGGCAGGTGTTGGGGCTTCGGGGTTCATGGTTTAGCCTCCAGGTTTTCTGCGAATCCCTAAACCCTAAACCCTTAACCCTAAACCCTAAACCCTGAGCCCTAAGCCCTAAGCCCTAAGCCCTAAGCCCTAAGCCCTAAGCCCTAAGCCCTAAGCCCTAAGCCTACGCCTTGCAGGCCGTGGACACGGCTTTCAACCAGGAGCTGGAGATCGTCAGCGCCATCGCTGACCAGAGTTTCGAGTTCCCTTCCGCCAAGTATTTCCAGGCCTGTTGGGGGGGGGGGGGCGGGGGTTAGGGTTTAGGGTTTAGGGTTTAGGGTTTAGGGTTTAGGGTTTAGGGTTTAGGGTTTATCGGGTTTATAGGCTTTAGTTGAGGGGCTTAGGGGGATTTAGGCGGGTCCAGGTTTGAGGGTGTGGATGCGTGTTGTTGCGGAGGTTGGCCGCCAGGGCTTCGGGTGTAGGCTCCGGCACGTCTGAAACTGACAGGGCTTGAAGGTGTGGGGTTTAGGGTTTAGAGTTTTGGGTTTTGGGTTTAGGGTTCAGGGTTTTAGGGTTTATAGGGTTTAGGGTTCAAAACCCTAAACCCTAAGCCCAACACCCCAATTCGGCTTAGGGCTGGATGAAGCCCGTAGAGTCCCTAAGGGTTATGACCCTAGACTCTTTATTAGTTATGCCCCACAAAGGCCTGCGTGCAACCGCCCTGCATTTTTGCAGGGCATGCATGGGCTTGAGACCCTAAACCCTAACCCGAAACCTTGAACCCTCAAGCAATAGCCCAGAACCCTAAACCCTCGGTTTTTAGGGTTTGGGGTTTAGGGTTTAGGGTTTAGGGCCTGAGCCCAAAACCCCGAAGCCTCGAGCAGAAGCTGTGTGAGGCGTTGGTTGACAATGGCTCCCACGTCCTCGAGCAGTCAGCCCCACTCCCCAGCCAGGGTGTGCAGGGTTTTGGGCTCAAGGCCGAAGATAGATGTAAGTGTGTTAAGTGTTTGTTGTATATGTCGAATACTGACGCAAAGCACTTTATATGTGATAGATGCATAACATGGCAAAGTATCTTTTCTGGATGTTCATATTCTATGTGTATATATATATATGTATGTAAATATGTACATACGTAGATATATGTATATAGATGGATAGATGGATAGATGGATATATATATATATATATGTGCATGTGCTGGGTCGCCCCTCCTCCTACTGAATGGACCCTACCATGGTACCGACCGGGGCACACCACGCTTCGAAGGGTCGTTGCCTTTTTGCTGTAATTCCTGAGCCCTCAACCCCTAACCCTACACCCTAAACCCTTAAACGCAGCTATGTTCTCTAGACGTCCTGGTCCCTTCCACGATCTTTACAGAGCCAATGAAGTTGCCTGGTTCCAAAGGTTACTTGGGGCTTGATTTCTCCGCTTGGGGGATGGTTACAGGAAGCCGTATACCTGAAACCTAAGCCTAAACCCTAAACCTAGTACCCAAAGCCTTAAAGCCCCCAAGCCCTTTTTTCTGTTCTGGGGCATTATTTGGCGTCTTGGGCCCGTGGGAAACCCGCGACCTGAATTCTAGACCCTGTCCATGGCAACTTAACAGCCCCTGTGTTCGATTGCAAATGCAAGATGGCACAGAAGGAAGGAGGATGGTAGGGCCCCCAGGTGAGCTGCAGTGATCCGCAGGCGGAGAGTTTCCATCCTAAACCCACCCCCCCCCCCCCCCCCCAAAAAAAAAAAAAAAAAGAAAACATAAATATTATTTTACTTCGAACATCCTGACCCTCTCTTGCTAGAGATACTCTGGGGTTCCAGCAACATTCTGGGCTGGGGCACTCGAGGGAGACTCTGTGTGGGGTTGGTCACTCCAGGGAGACTCTGGAACTGGGCACTGCGGGGACACTCTGGAGTTGGGCACTCTAGGGAGACTCTGGGGTTGGGCCTCTGGTGGTGGGCAATGCAGGGAGACTCTGGGGTGGGAGAACACTCTGGAGTTGGGCACCCTAGGAAGACTCTCACTCTAGAGTTGGGCACTCCAGGACACTTTGGGGTTGGGCACTCCAGGGATGAGCGAGGAGTAGACCGGGCGAGGAGAAGAGTTCCGGGCGAGGAGAAGAGCTGAGTTTAAAATCTAACAACCCCACACCGAGGGTGGGGAACAACAAATCGAATCCGTAAACCTCAAACCCCAAGACCCGAAACCCTGAACCTTAAAGCCTAGACCCTCAACCCTGAACCCCAAAGATCCCCAAAGACCTAGACCTCAACCCCTGAACCCTAAGCCTTAAGCCCTCAGCCCTAAACCCTAAACCCTAAACCCCCCTGAAGTCCTTGAACGCCTGGGCAAGGTCCGGCGCGTGGTGAACATCCTGGCCCTGCCCTTCAGTCCCCAGGTCTCCAGCAAGGCCTGGTCACTTGAGGGACTTGGGGTGTATGGGGCTTGAGGGATTTAGTTTGTTCGTTAGTTCAGATACATATATATATATATGTATGTATGTAACATGTGTGTATATATATATACATATGTATATACATATATATATACATATATGTATAGTTTTATATTTTGTTTGTTCTTTGTTTCCTGTTTTGGGGGGGAGGGGGGTGGTTAGGGATTTTGCGACTAAGGTGCTTGGAAGGTTTGTAGTTTGGGCTCTGAAGTTTCGGGACTTGGAGCTTGTAGGTGGAAGGGGATTTGTGCGAGTAAGGTGCCCGGTGGAAGCTTTGTTGTGTGGGCTTCGAAATATCCTTCGAAATTTCGAGATCGGGAACTTGTAGGAGGTTAATGGGGTTGAAGGTTGGAGTTTGAGCTTTAAGGTTTAGGGTTAGGGGTTTAGGGTTTAGGGCTTAGGGCTTAGGGCTTAGGGCTTGGGGCTTAGGGCTTAGGGGTTAAGAGGTCAGGCGCCTTTCGTTCCCTCAACTCACAGCCTACACCTTGAGCCCTAAACCCGAAGCTGTCGGTGGGCTTCTGGCACAGGCTGTAGGGACCAGTTTAACGCTTGGAGCCTTGACCCCTGAACCCTAAACCCTGAACCCTGAACCCTAAACCCTAAACCCTGAACCCACCCTGAAGCCTCAACCCTGAACCCTGAACCCTGAACCCTAAACCCTAAACCCTAAACCCTGCACCCTTTCCGATTTGGGGGTTCAGCGCAGCTCTGGAGGTGCTCGGTGCACAAGCTGATGAGCTCTGCCGCAGGTTTCGTTTCAAGGACCCACGTTTAGGGTTTAGGGTTGAGGGTTTAGGGTTCTGGGTTTTGGGTTTAGGGTCTAGGGTCTAGGGTTTAGGGTTTCGTTTCAAGGACCCACAGCACACCAGGTAGGGTTTTGGGTTTAGGGTTTTGGGTTTTTTGGGTTTAGGGTTTTAGGGTTTAGGGTTTCAGGGTTTTAGGGTTTGGGGGTTCAGGGTTTCGGGTTTTAGGGTTTTGGGATTTGGGTTTGGTGTTTAGCATTTTAGGGTTTGAGGTTTAGGGTTTGGGCCTTTCGAGGGTTTAAGGCCTACACGGTGGTTTCAGGCTTAGGGTTTCGGTACTTTAGAAGTTGCAGGGAAACTTGTGTGCACCAGGATGTTGGGTTCGTGCGCAGGCTGCGTGGAAAGTTGTCTCAAGAGAAACCCTAACCCTAAACCCTAAACCCTAAACCCTAAACCCTAAACCCTAAACCCTATCGCCGAAACCGTATCAACCCTGAGCCTCCTCAACCCTAAAGATCTAACCCTAAGCCTAAGGGCTACAACCCCACCCGAGCTTCCCTGAGCAGTTCGGTCCGCAAGCCGTGGCCTCCCTAGGGCTTAGGGTTTTGGGTTTAGGGTTTAGGGTTTAGGGTTTAGGGTTCAGGGATACCCTGAACCCTAAACCCTGTAGGGCTTCGGGGACACTTGGATGTCTAGGTATTGTGAGGGGGGCTTTCGGCGTTTTGTCGACTGAGGGTTTGGTCTGGGGCTTTGGGTTTTTTCAGGTTTCCGGGTTTTGGGGCTTAGGGTTTAGGTTCAGGGCTCAGGGTTTAGGGGTTCAGGGGAGCCAGGGGTTTTTGCTTTTAACACCTCCTTTTTTTAAAGGTGTGGCTCGTACCTCTCCCCCCCCCCCCCCCGCTACACCGCTGGTCCCCTGGCCCCGTGGTCCTCTGCATGGTCCCCTTGGTCCCGTGGTCCCGTCGCGCTCTGGTCCTCTGGTCCCTTGGTCCTCTGGTCCCCTTGCTCCCGTGGTCCTCTTGTCTCCCTGGTCCCGTGGTCCCCTTGGTCCCGTGGTCCTCTAAAGCCTTGCAAAGCTTGTTTCGAAGCATATGAATCCATCCAAACCGCTTCAAAGCCCCAACCCCGTGCTTATTAGGTTGCATCAAAGCATATATGATTTCCTTCCAAGCTATCGTGCGGGTATTGTGTTTGCAAATGGTCTTTTTTCAGCCGCAAGCTGGCCTCAACACACCATATGAATCCCTCACAGGCCCATCATGCGAGCATTCTATTTGCAGATGGTTGCCAACCCCAAGCCCCGCTTTTGTGAGCCGTGCACCATTAGAGAATCCTGTCCAAACCCATCATTCGAGCATTGTGTTTGCAAATGGGGGGGCCGCGAACTCCCCCCCCCCCCAACCCCCCTGCTTTTTTAGGCCACGCAAGCATGCGTCAAGCTGCTACGTACACTGTGTTTACAGTGCAGTTCTTTCTTTGCCTCTGCAAAGTCAGAAATGCTGCTATTTGCAGTATTTGCAGCTTCTGAAAACGCAGAAATGCTGCAATAAAAAAGTATTTGCAGCCCTTTTTTGAGCCGTGAAAGCTTGCCTCAAACACCATATGAATCCCACAAACCCTTTACGCGCGCATTCGGTTTGCAAATGGTTGGGACCCCCTCAAGCCCCCGCTTTTTGTGAGCACCATCTAAATCCTTTCTAAACCCATCGTTCGAGCAGTTTGTTTGCAGATGGGGGGGCCCCCAACCCCCTGCTTTTTTTCGGCCGAGCGAGCATGCGTCAAAGCATATGATTCCCTTCCGTTTGTGTTGTCTCATGCTGGCATTTACAGCATTTGCAGCTTCTGAAGATTCAGAAACGCCGCTATTTATAGTACTTGCAGCGCCTGAGACTCAGAAATGCTGCAACGTACAGTATGTTTACAGTACTTTGCAGCCTTTGCAAAGTCAGAAATGCTGCTAAGTATTTGATTCCTCTAAAATCGCAGAAATGCTGCTATTTGCATTATTTGCAGCCTCGGAAAATGTAGAAATGCTGCTATTTACAGTATTTGAAGCCTCTGACAACGCAGAAATGCTGCCCTTTACAGTATTTGCAGCCTCCGACAACGCAGAAATGCGGCTCTTTACAGTATTTGCAGCCTCTGGAAACGCAGAAATGCTGCTATTTACAGTACTTGCAGCTTCTGAAAACACAGAAATGCTGCTATGTACAGTCTTTGCTGCCTCTGAAAACACAGAAATGCTGCTATTTACAGTATAATTGCGAGGCCAAGTCGAGCCACACCTTATAAAAAAAAAAAAAAACCCTCCGCCGCCGGGTTCAGGGCTTCTGCTGTTGAGAGGTTTAGGGTTCCAGGGGTCTGGGTGTGGGATTTTGGGGTTTAGGCAGTTCGTGGTTGAGGGTTTAGGGTTGGCAGGCATTGTAGTCATCCAGAAGTACGACAGCGCTTCCTCGAATTCATGATGTCATGAGGCGCAAAGACGTGAAAGGAACCCTAAACCCTAAACCTTAAACCCGAAACCCTAAACCCTAAGCCCTATAAACCCTAAGCCCTACAGATGTGGCCAGCGGGGAGAGGCTCCGCATTGTTCCAGGAGATCCACGATGCATGCTTGGATTGGGAGGTGCACAGACACGTGGGAATTCTTTTCTCAAAGCCCTGAGGATTCAGGAAGCCAACAACTGTCTGCGATCCACCCACCGACCAGTGAGCTGTGCTGAAGTGCCAACACGCAGACTCGCGAGGATGGTATCCTCGTTTTTCTTCCAGAGGCTCGATTTTGAGTCTGCGATTGCAACGTTTTCTGGTTACATCTTCCCGCAGGCTCAGCAGGTCCGCGTTCTCTCAAGCTTCCGAGTTCCCATCAGCACACGGCCTGTTACATTGATGTCTTAAGCCCCAAGTCTTCAGCCCAAAGCCCTAAGCCCTACTTAAACCTCAGCCCTACGCCCTAAGCCCTAATTTAAACCTCAGCCCTAAGCCCTCAGCCCTAAGCCCTGGGCCATAAGCCCCAGACGCAGAGGAGCACGACAACGTGCACGTGAGAAGGGCCTCCACGGAAGCGGTCCAGCCGTCCAGAAAGGCGGTCACCGCGCCCGTGAGACAGAAAGAGGCGGTGGAGGAGAAGACAGAGGCGGGGAGATTCCCCTAAATCCTGAAACCTCTAAACCCTACCTGTCAACTCTTAAACTTCTAAGCCCTAAACCCTGAACAGAAGCCTGCTTTGATATCTCCCTGAACCCTAAACCCGAAAACCCTAACCGCCAAAGCAGTCATCAACCCCCCTCCCCCCCCCTCTCCTATTGTGACCCCCTTCCCCCCCCCCGCCCCCATGTAAAAGCTGGGGGGGGGGGGGGGGGGGGGGGGGGGGGGGGGGGGGGGGGGGGGGTACCAGCAAGATCAGGGTTTGGAGAATGCTCACAGGATGTGAAATTCTATAGCAATGTCGTTCAAGATCCCTCCTTCCCCCCCCACAACCACCCTATCCTTGAACCGAAAGAATGGAGGCTTTCAGGCGGGTTTGGGGCTTAGGTTTAGGGTTTAGGGTTTTGGGGTTTTGGGGTTTAGCGTTTAGGGTTTATAGGGTTTAGGGTTTCAAGGTTTAGTGGTTTAGGATTCAGGGTTTAGGGTTCAGGGTTCAAGGCGTTTCTGGCTGCTCCAGCTCCGATCCTAGACGTCCGGCTGCTTCGCGTTCAGAGTGGGGCCTGAAAGCAAACATTGGCAGGGTTTCAGGTAGCCCTAAACCCTAATCCCTAAACCCTAACCCCTAAACCCTCTCTTCCAGGCCGCCACGCTGAGCCTTGGTTGCCAAGCGCACGACCAGGGGCTTCGGCTTTAGGGGCCCTAGGGATTCCAAAGCTCTAAAGCACCCCCTGGCAACCCAAGACCCGACAGTCCTTGTAAGGGAAGTCATGGTCTGTGAGGGTTTAGGCTTAGGGCTTTTAAAGGATTAGGGATAGGGTTTAGGGTTTAGGGTTTAGGGTTTAGGGTTTAGGGTTTAGGGTCTAGGGTTTAGGGTCTAGGGTCTAGGGTTTAGGGTTTAGGGTTTAGGGTTTAGGGTTTAGGGTTTAGGGTTTAGGGTTTAAGGTTTATGGGTTTGCTGCAATCTGGGGCAGATGCTGTGAAGGTTGGGGTGCAGAATAGGCTCGAAAGCCTCGTCAGGTGCGAAGAGCAGCTTTGGCCCGATTGTGGAGGGCCATCTAACACCAGAGCCACCCGAGCCGATTCCTTTTAGGGTTCTTCCAACGGCCTCCAGAGAGTACCAAGGCATTTTGGGGGGTTTGAAAGGGGTCCCAATTCAGGCCCCGGATGTTTTTGGCCTGGAAGTACCTGAAAGAGGCGTCTCGGCTCCGGTACCGGGCGCATCGTGAGTACTACCGACCTCCTGGCCGTGGGAGGCGGGCAAGCGACCTGGGTCGGCTTGCGCCATAAAGGTGGAGGGGCTGAAGCGCGCCTGTAGTCCCTTACCTTCTGAATTCTTGCAAGGGTTCTGGAGTATGGAACCCTTGGGTTTTATGGGGTATAATCAGGGGCATGTAAGAATTTCCAAAGTGAGGGCCCATGTTGCGGGACCGTGTAACTACCCTAAGCACTTCAACGATCTCAACACACCGTGAGGTTACTCTAAGGGTCGGCATAATGAATTGCAAATAGCATTGCCCTATGGTCCCGATATAGTTATACGAGAATCACCCCCAAAACCCTGTTCAAATTCTCGTTGCAAAAAAGCCCTAAACCTTGAGAAGGGATCCGGGCTCCAGGGGCCATTGGCGAGTTCGGGGTTGAGGTTTAAGGGCGTAGATCGCAGTGAACCCTAAGCACGAAACCCTTGAACCCCTAAACCCGTAAACCCCTAGACCCTAAGCCCTCAACCCTAAACCCTAAACCCTTGTCGTTGTGTGTGTCTTGGGCTCCGGGTTCTGTGCTCCCTGGACGTTGAGGGTGTTACGGGGTTGGGAAGCGCTTTGGGAGCTAAGGGTAGCTACATGGTCCCTTAGTATGGGCCCTGAAATTGGGACCCTTTATATACTCCTTCTAGACCTTGTATAAAGGGCCCATACTTCAGAACAGCTTAAAGGTAAGTGAACACATCAAGGGACCATGGAACTTCCCTGGTAGAGGGGAACAGTCGGGTTTAGGACTTCGGGCTGAGGGTTTAGGGATCATGAAACCCAGATTTCTGAAACCTCAACTCCACACACCAAGCCCCGACGTAAACCCTAAACCCCAAAGGCGAAGAAGCCGCATCCGGATTCACCGCATGTAACCTCGAACTTTGCCTTCAACCCTACGCTCCAATCTCCTACTGCGCACCAAAAGCATTGTCCACAGACCTTTGTAGCTGAGCAGGTGTTTTTCCGCGGTATATACTCCCACCATAGTTGAAAGGTGAACCTTTTTTTGGGTCAGGATACTCCGCAACTAGGAAACCCTGGGCTATTTGTGCACATAATCTTCATCGGAACAGTCATGGTAAGAATTTCGAAACAAAGTCATCATCCTCATCATCAACACCATCATCATGTAGAGTAGGGTGCAAGGTTTGCATAGACCCTAAACCCTAAACCCCAAACCCTGAACCCTAAACCCTAAACGGGTGCAGGGTTCACGGTTCGTTGCTCCCGGGGTTGGCGTTCAAGATTCTTTCCCTCCAAGGAAGGAGGTGTGCGGCGTCGTTGTGTCGGACGACGTGCTGACCACGAACATGTGACTTAGAACCCAAAGGGCCCCATGTACCCATATAGTATCAACTTGGGCCTTTAAGGGGGGTTCCGGGCCCAGATATGTACTATAATATGGGTACATGGACCCTTGGGGCCATGAAATGCTTGTGAATTATGCGCAGACGCCTCTGCAAGCGCAGCAATGCCAAAATCCGGCTAACAGCATCGTTTCAAGCCCAGAGGGCACCGCAAGCTCGATACTTCTGGGTACTGAGCTTACCGCCTTACGTCAGGCGCCCAAAGCCCCAAACTCTGAACCGCCACAAAAACGGGTGTATATGTAGAAGTTTGTTTAAGTTAGTACATATCTGCATATTATATATATATACATACATACACATATTTTCGTGTTAAATATACACAAACACGAAGAGACGTGACATGTACAGCAAGCAGGCCTCTCCGAAACGGACAGGCCTCCAAAATTTTCTCAGCCGATGCGATGCCGAAAGGCACTGCACGAGGAGTCCAGGGCCCGGGTTTGTTGTAGAATCGGGTTTAGGGTTTAGGGTTTTGGGTTTAGGGTTTATGGATTGAGGTCTAGTGGAAGTATCTTATCAAAAGCATCATGCTGCTGCCTGGGTCGGTGGGAATTCCCCTGGGCAGTTTGACCATGTGTGCATGTTCTGTAGCCATAAGTATGCCTGGTTCCTATCAGGCCAACTCTTCGGGCGTTCCATCGCCGCCAAACATTTGTTTCCGATGGCCAGGGCCGGAAAAAGCAAGCTGGCAGGGTTTAGGGTTTGGGGTTTAGGGTTTTGGGTTTAGGGTTTAGGGTTTAGGGCTTAGGGGAGGGTTCGGGTTCAGGAGTTTGTAGCCCAGCACCCTTTACCCTTCTTGATTTGTTCTGGGGTTTCCCTTATAAGGTAACCCAACCCAAAAAAGGTGCCCGGATTATGATGCTTACTGGGCTACCGAGGGGGTTTGAGTGACCCCTACAGCCTCAACCTCAAACAGTCGGCACATGGGCAGGATTCATCAGGTTTTGGACCATCTCGCTTGGGCGATGTCCCTGCTTGATGCTCCTTTTTGGTTTAGGATTTAGGGTTTAGGGTTTAGGGTTTAGGGTTTTTTTGGGGGGGTTTAGGTCATTTTTTCTGGTCGTGGACGCCCCTACGCACCGAATTAAACACAAAGACATACTCAACGGAGAACACCATCCTCAAGATCCTAAATCTTCAGGCCGGGTTTGTACAGGAGCCAAAGTGGGTGATTCTAAACCCTAAACCCTAAACCCTGAACGCTGAACCCTAAACCCTAAACCCTAAACCCTAAAGTGCAGTCTCCCTGACAAGCCGTGAAGATCTCCCATTTGAACGACACACAAATCCCATGCTTCTTATCTACAGTTTCGTGGTAAATACCCTTAGGTCTGACTTAGGGTTTAGGGTTTAGGGTTTGGGGTTTGGGGTTTGGGGTTTAGGGTTTAGGGTTTAGGGTTTAGGTCCCAGGAAAACCTTCATCCGGGTTTTGGGAGCTTCAACGCCAGTCGTGATCATGAGGATGCTGCGGAGGCGGCCTCCCACTGCTCAAGCGACCGGCTCTGCTTCATGTAGGCGGTTTTTAGGGTTAAGGGCTTAGGGTTGGGTTTAGGGTTCACGGTTCAGGGTTAGGGTTTAGGGTTTCGGGTTCAGGGGGCTTGGGGATCGTACAGGCGATTAAGCCCTAAACCCTAAACCCAAAGCCCTAGATTCAGCCCTAAAGCCTGGACAGAGTCTCGGCCCCCTGTGAAGGCCTTACTTAGCCCATGGTTGAACTTTAAACTTTTTGGGTATCCTTATCTAGCAGGAATGACGAAGTTTAACCTTTGTTTCCCCTTGGCTATCGGAGTCGCAAGATGCTGGCTGTGGGCAGTGCCTGCGGGACTTTGGGTCAGCTGCCACTGGGACTGCTTAGATTTTTGGATGTTTGGGTTTAGGGTTTAGGGTTTAGGGTTTAGGGTTTAGGGTTTAGGGTTTAGGGTTTAGGGTTTAGGGTTTAGGGTTTAGGGTTTAGGGTTTAGGGTTTGGGTCTAAGGCTAGTCTTCATGGTCCCTGAGGCGGTTCCCTGCCTTCTTTAAAGGGTTCTGAAGTACGGGGCCCTTGGGTTGTTATGGGCGATACCCGTGGGGGGAATATAAGGGTTCCCCAACTAAGGGCCCATTAAACCATCAACCCTAAACCCGAAGCCTTAAACCCTAAACCCGAAGTTTTTTGGGCTGTCTGCGGCTCCAGTGGCCCAAGTTCGTCAGTCTTAAGGCACTTCAGACAGCCCAAAAACATGGGGTTTAGGGTTTAGGGTTTAGGGTTTTGGGCCAATTGGCCAATGCAACAGAGCCCTGAATCTGGGAGAAGGCTTCTTCAAAATTACTGGGGTTGTAAGGGATACTAGACGCGACCGCCTCAAAAAATGTAGACGAACCCCTACGTAACGTCGAGGGTCAAGTGCTATCCTTAAGTCTCTTAAATGGAGCATTTCGGGATCGTCTCAGCAGGGTTGGGTTTGGGACATGGGTTTAGCGTTTAGGGTTTGGGGGTTTGGGGGTTTGGGGGTTTGGGGGTGAGGGTTTCGGGTTTAGGCCCCAAAGCTGAAACTCTGGCGGGGGCGGTTTAACTAGGGTTTAGGGGGTTTCGGTTTAGGATGTCTAATCTTCTTAGTGTTGGTGCTGAACCCCCTGACTCCTAACCATGGGGACCCCGATCCCTAAACCCTAATCCTAACCCTAAACCTTAAGCCCTAAACCCTCACCCCCGGCTTAAGAGGGTTTAGGGGAACCTCGAAACCTGAACGCCACAGGACGGTTCACACTTCCTTCACCATCTCACCTTTGGACCTTCCCTTCGTCACCAACTTGGTGGGCTGGTTGGGCCAGGGGGGGGGCTCCGGAATTGCGGGTACCCTAAACCCTAAACCCTGAAGGATCTAGGGCTGTTGAAGGTTTGGTGGGGTTCTAGGACTCGGGACTTTGGGATGTTTTTTGGGGGTCATAGGGTTTGGGGGTTTATGGGCTTTGGTGGGGTTTTGGGGCCCGAGTTGTGGATCTGAGCCCCAAACCCTAAACCCTAAACCCTAAACCCTAAACCCTAAACCCTAAACCCTAAACCCTAAACCCTAAACCCTAAACCCTAAACCCTAAACCCTAACTTGGGACTTGGCGCAGGTGCTCTTGAGTTGTTTTTGGGAGGCCCTTGATACGGTATGATACTCACAGCTTAACAGTCCTTGATAGGGACTATAATAGGGGGGTTACTATAATCCCTACTAAGGACCGTTAGTAAAGGGGGAACATCCCAACCTTCAGCGCTTGACTCAAGCCCTAAACCCAAAACCCAAAACTCAAAACCCTTCAGAGTAGCGCCCGAAATCAGAACTCGCCTGCCCGGATTCCCTCTCCCCCCCTGCCACTGTTTAAGGGTTTAGGCTTCAGTTGGATTTGAGGGGCAGAGGGTATCTACAGGATTCCTAAACCCCATACCCTTACAACCCTCAGATCTCAAGCGCTAAGCTGCTTTGCCGCTATTCGAGTGCAACTCCGTTGAGGTTGGTGTTGAGGGCTTGTATGCACTTGTCGGTTTTTGATTCTTAGTAGCTGAATGGCTCGATCATGTGTTGCGCCCTAGACGATGTGAAACGCTAGGCTGTGGCTTTAGGGCGCACGGCCCTAAACCTCTAACGCTAAACCCTAAACCCTAAACCCCCCCAAGCCCTAAACCCGAAACCCTAAACCCTAAACCCTAAACCCTAAACCCTAAACCCTAAACCCTCCACCGGAGGTGGACCTCGCTGGGGGGCTGCGACCTGCGCTTGCGGGCTGCGTGCGCGAGCTCCTGCTGACAGTGGACACGCGGAAGAAGACCCCAGGAGACGGAGGTTCAGTCGGTTGAGGGTTGAGGGTTGAGGGTTTAGGGTTTGAGGGTTGAGGGTTGAGGGTTGAGGGTTGAGGGTTTAGGGTTTGGGGTTTGGGGTTTGGGGTTAGGGGTGTAGGGTTAGGATTTAGGGTTAGGGGTTTAGGGTTAGGGCTTTCGGGGCTGTTGACGGGTTTACGGCTTAGGGTTAGAGGTTCAGGGTTTAGGGCTTATGGAGCTTGTGCTTCTTTTTTCAAATTAAGGGGTTGAGGGGATGTTTAGGGTTTAAGGGTAATTAGAGGCAAGTAGGCTTTTGAGCCTGTCCAGGGCAAGCCGGGCTGCAAACCCAACCTGTTCCTAAACCCTTAACCCCCGTAGCCTGCAACCCGAAACCCTAAACCCTAAACCCTGAACCCTGAACCCTAAACCCTAAACCCTAAACCCTAAGGCCGAAACTGAGGGCCTGACACCCCCAGGAGCACTACGGAAAGAGCTTGAAAGCGACGTGGGCCGCGAGCTGTTGGCGTCCCTCCGGCGGGCAGCTGCGACCGCAGCGGAGCTGCTGGGGACCACGTGGCGAGAGGCGGGTGGAGGGGTTTTAGGGTTTAGGGTTTAGGGTTTGGGGTTTAGGGTTTTAGGGCTTAGGGTTTAGGGCTTAGGGTTTAGGGTTTAGGGTTTAGGGTTTAGGGTTTAGGGTTTAGGGTTTAGGGTTTAGGGTTTAGGGTTTGGGTGTGCAAAGGGGTCAGGAGTTGGGAAAGCACGGTAGCACCTGGTAGTGAGTGTCGAAGAAGTACTGCCCAAGTTCAGATTGCAAGCTCTGAAATCCTCTACTTTCAGCCCTAAACCCTAAACCCTAAGCCCCAAAGCCTAAACCCTAAATCCTAAACCCTAGACCCTAAACCCTGTGAAACTCTCCTTGTGAGTCTCCTTCGGGTGGATCTTCTATACCTTACGGACCTGTTGCGGGTCAGAAGCACCCCCAATGAAGGTTCTATTTTACGCGTCCCATGGAAAATCTATCTTATATATTTAACTTCTTGGCAGAGAAGTTCATGTATGTCTTGAAATTCATTCAAAACTAGTATGTATAAGTGTATATATATATATATAGGTATACATATATATATATATATATATGCGTATGTACATATATATATATATATATATATATACATATGTACACCTATACATGCATTTAAACCATTTTACTTCGAACATCCCCACCCTCTCTTGCTAGAGATACTCTAGGGTTGGGCACTGCAGGGACACTCTGGGCTGGGCACTCCGGGACACTCTGGGGTTGGGCACGAGACTCTGGGGGACACTCTGGGTTGGGCTCCAGGGAGACTCTGGGGTTGGGCACTCCAGGGAGAGACTCGACCCTAAACCCTAAACCCTAAACCCTAAACCCTAAACCCTAAACCCTAAAACACTCTGGGGTTGGGCACCCCAGGCTGGTGGGCACTCCAGGGAGACAGCACTCCGGGGACGCTCTGCGGTTGGGCACTCCAGGACTCCGGGGTTTGGGCACTCCTGGGCTGAGCACTCCAGGCACACTCTAACTTAGTAGTAGAGTAGGTAACCTTTAACCTTTTTGGGTTAATATATTCCCCTTATATTCCCAAAGGTTAACCTTTAAAAACCCCTAGGTACTGGACAACTGAGCTAAATTTGGGCAGGACATTTGGGGTTGGGCACTCCAGGGATGGGCGAGGAGTAGACCGGGCGAGGAGAAGAGTTGAGTTTAAAATCTAACGACCCCACACCGAGGGTGGTGTTCACACAACCCAACAAGAATAACAGAGCAACATCGTCCCTCACACATTGTGATTTGCTTACAAGGCCCCCGCTACAGGGGCTAATTTTGGGGCCAAGCCCTGGATCCTAACCCTAAACTTCCTAACCCTAAACCCTGAACCCTAAAGCCTAAACTTCCTAGCCCTAAACCCTAAACTTCCTAATCCTAAGCCCCCAAATCCCTAATCCCTAAGGAGCAGGTGGGGGTCGGGTTGCGGGTCCTGACCGGACACTTTCAGGGCTGCTAGTCCTAAACCCGATAAAGCTGAGAGAACTCCACGTCCAGGGTCGGGCTGATTGGGGTTTAGGGTTTAGGGTTTAGGGTTTAGGGTTTAGGGTTTAGGGTTTAGGGTTTAGGGTTTAGGGTTTAGGGTTTGGTAGGAAGTGGACTCCGCAGGTTTTCATCGACTATTCCGACCGCACATTGATTGAAGAAGTGCTGGTCCGAGGTGGATCCCCATTTGAGGGGGGTTGAAGGGGGGGTTTTACGGTTTGGGGTTTAGGGTTTGGGGTTTAGGGTTTTTAGGGTTTAGGGCATTTAGGGCATTTAGGGCATTTAGGGTCTAGTGTCTCGGGTCTGGGTTTTAGGGTTTTCGATTCCTCAAAACCCTTTAAACCCCTCAAAACCCTTAAAACCCCTCAAAACCCCTTTAAACCCCTCAAAACCCTTAAACCCCTCAAAATCCCTCAAAATCTAAACCCTTCAAAACCCTTGAAACCCTTAAAACCCTTAAAACCCTTTAAACCCTTTAAAGCCCTCAAAACACTTAAACCCCTCCAAGCCCCCTTAAAACCCGCCTAAAACACCCCCCCAAAACCCTTAAGACCCTCAACCCCTCAACACCCCTAAAAACCCTCTCAAAACCCTCAAAGCCCCCTCAACCCCCTCAAAAACCTCTTGAAAAAGCCCCAAAAACCCCGTGAGAACCCGTAAACAGCCCCCTTCAACACCCCAAGAAATCCCTCAAAACCCTCAAAATTGTCAAAAACCAAACCTCTCACAACCCCTAAAAGCCCTTAACCCCCCCCCCCCCTCCCCCCAAAAAAAAACAAAACTCTTCAAAACCCTTAACCCCCCCTTCAAATAGAGGTCTCGGCCTGCCCAGCTCCGTCGCCCGGCGCGCGCTGCCGCATCTCTGGAAGAACGCCCCGATGTACCTCTACATGGCGCACCTCTCGAGGCGAGGAAAAAAGAACCTTGAGCCCTAAACCCTGAACCCTAAACCCAAAACCCCAAACCCCTAAACCCCTAAGCCTTAAACCCGAACCCCGAAAACCCCTGAACCCCTGAACCCCTTAACTGGAGCCGTGCTTTGTTGGCTTCAGGACGGTAGGGCGGGCGGCCTCAGGGTGCGCGGGGCTTACTGTTTAGGGCTTAAGGTTTGAGGGTCTAGGGTTTCAGGGTTGAGGGTTTCAGGGTGTAGGGTTCAGGGTTTGGGGTTCAGGAATTCGGGTTGGGGTTTCAGGGTTTCAGGGTTTAGGGCAGAAACTTTGGATGTTCTCCCCTATACTAACAGTCCTTAATCGGGATTAGAAGAAGGGGTACTAGAGGAAATCCCTATTTAGGACTGTTAGTATAAGGGGGAGAAACCCAACCAGAAACCCTAACTGCAAGAGTCCCAAGCTTTGAAGATCCCAATTGCGACGTCTCGGGCCGGTTTTTGCTTAGAAGTTCATGGGTTTTGGGGGTTAGAAGTACGCATGAACCTCCAAGATAGATCCCTGACTCAACTGTAGACCCTAAACCCTAAACCCTAAGCCCCAAAAGGACGGAGTACCTCCTGCACTTTGACTCGGACGTGATCCTGGACTGTAGTTCCGACTTCGCGAGTTAAAGGGTTCAGGGTTTAGGGTTTAGGGCTTAGGGCTTAGGGTTTAGGGTATATGGTTTAGGGGGTTCAGCATCACCAGACTGGTCCCTTCTCTAAAATGTGGTCCGGGTAGCAGAGCTACTAGGTATCAGGTTGAGACTGTAAGGGTTTAGGGTTATATGGTCACTTCTCCAAGATATGGCCCCCTGCGGGGTCCTTATTAGAAGGCGGCCCCGGAATATTTGGGGTCACCAACTCAAAGGACACGAATGTCGAGATGTCAGCGGTCAGTTGGTGGAGGTCGAAAGGCTACAGCCGAGGGTGTTCTGTGTTGGGCTGGTTAGGGTATAGATTCTTTCTTGGCTCTTGGAGTACTATACTTTAATACATATTTTGGTTCTGGGTTCCTATTATAGCTACTTATATACTTGTTTCCCAGGGTCTACTCCAAGGTAAGGTTTCAGAGTTGAGGGGTGTAAGGGTCGAGGTGTAGGCTTAGGGAGTTGCACGGTTTTTCAGGCCTAATTTATGTAAATTGCTCCAAAAAGTCCCATATACCCCCAGTTGTGTGGAGGTTGATAGGGTGGATAGGCTACAAGCCCCTTAGCCCTAAACCCTAAACCCCAAACCCCAAACCCCAAACCCCTAACCCCTAAACCCCAAACCCCAAACCCCAAACCCTTAACCCTTAACCCTAAACCCTAAACCCTAAACCCTAAACCCTAAACCCTAAACCCCAAACCCCAAACCCTAAACCCTAAACCCTAAACCCTAAAACCCTAAAACCCTAAACCCGAACGAGCAGGACCACATCTACCCCAAGAGTGCCAGCAGCGCTTCCCAGTGGTTCACAGCTGCAGGCTCCTATCTTCAGTTCCCGGGCCGCCTGGGGGGTTTAGGGTTTAGGGTTTAGGGTTTGGGGTTTAGGGTTTAGGGTTTAGGGTTTAAATTAAGTTTTGTATAAATTCATCGTAAGAATTAAAGAGGTGGTCAATATTTTCTAAAAAATTATTTAGAAATTTATCACGTTAGAGGGGTTTAGGGTTTAGGGTTTGGGGTTTAGGGTTTAGGGTTTAGGGTTTGAAGGAGCAACCGAGCCATGAGTGTGATGAGAACTACATGTGGGCAGTTCTCTAAACTATGGTCCCTTTTAAGTTCCTTCTTATAAGGCGGCCCTCTTACTTAGGGTACCCAAAAAGGGACCCTAATGTAGAGAACTCACCACATAATTATCTTCACGAGTTGCAGGAAGCTAAGACGGCTGGAGCTGTCTTCAGGGTTTAGGAGGTTCATGACTTGGGGCCCTACCGTCCGTTCATAGAAACGACAGGGTCGCCCCTGCTATGGGATTCGGGCTTGGTAAGCCCTAAACCCGAAGCCCGAGACCCTAAACCCTAATTAATAGGTTTCAAGGGCCTAGGATGGTAGGAGCTGTGGGCCCTTCAACAAAGGAGCCCGCGCGTGCGCGCGTGCGCGCGTGCGCGCACCCGGGCGAATGCGCCCAGGAACAGCTCGGCGCTGCTCGGTCTTTGGGCAGTTGGCTTCGAGGACTGCATGGGGCTGCAGGGTTTTGGGCCTCAGACACCCTGAATGAAACCCCTGATTAGTCTTTTTTTTTGGGGGGGGAGGGGGGAGGGGGGGGGAGGGGAGGGGGAGGGGGGGGGGGGGGGGGGGGGTGGGAGGGGGGGGGGGGGGAGGTGGGGGGGGGGAGGGGGGGGGGGGGGGGGGGGGGGGAGGGGGGGGGGGGAGGGGGGGGGGGGGGAGGGGGGGGGGAGGGAGGGTGTAGGGCAGTACCGAAAATCTTCTTGGTTTTTTCTAATGTGTGGCATCACATCCCCTAAACCCTGAACCCTAAACCCTAAACCAGGTACTTAAGTCAACGCAGGACTGCAGCCCCTATCCCAAAGGGACTGTGGACTTGCTGATGCCGCTACTCCCGCAGAACCGCGGTGGAGCGGTTTGGCTCTTTTTGGCGGGAGTGTTTCCCTTCAACCCTGAGGCATGGGCGCTAGGCTTTCGGGGTTTAGGGTTTAGGGTTTAGGGTTAGGGTTTAGGGCTAGGGTTTAGGGATTAGGGATTAGGGTTTAGGGACATGGCGATACAAACCCTACGACCGTTCAGCAAGAAACAAGGCAGCCCCGACAAGCCGACTGAGCCTCCACTACTCTTTGCTTTAGAACCCCCAAAAAAACATGAAATATGATAATCCCTATGTTGCCCTTACCAGGATTTGTATAAATATAAAAATCAAATTATAAATATAAATATAAATATGAATATAGGTATAAACATATAAATATAAATATATAAATAAATATATATATATATATATATATATAGATATAGATATAGATATTTTTTATTTACTTATTTGTGCTTGTTTTTCTTTATTTGTTTATTTATCCTGTTAGCACATGGCAGTAGAGCCGATAACCCCAAACCTAAACTCTAGGGCCTTTCCCTCAACCCTCGTCCATGCCCTAGGTGAAAGCCTCCGAGTTCGACTCCTTTCCTGGCCGCTGCATCGACAGGGCGACGGGGACCTGCACGATCTGCTGTTCATTAGGGGGTTTGGGAACGTAGGGATGTTGTAGGGGTTATGGGGTGCTAGTTGCCCTGAAGCCTAAACCCTAAACCCTGGACCCTACACCCTAAGCCCTAAACCCTAGATGCTCCCTTCCCCTCAACCCCGGACCCCGCACCCTAGAAACAGGCCCAAGCCCTGGAAATCCTAAACTCGCTAGGCCCGAAGAACCCAGCCTCTACACTCCCTGAGCCCCAGCCTCCCTACACGCCCTGAGCTTAACAAGCCTGAAGCCCTAAGCCAGCCCCTTGGCCCTGGGCGTGACACTCCCAAGTCTCGGGCACTACCGACTATCTTGCCCTAGAACCACCAAAAGGGTTCCTATAGTCTGCGCAAGAAAATGCAAAGGCCTGTTTTGGGGCAGTACTTCTTCAACCCTAAACCCCAAACCGTAAACCCTAAACCTTAAGCCCTAAACCCCAGCCCCCAAACCCCAAACCCCAAACCCCAAACCCCAAACCCCAAACCCCAAACCCCAAACCCCAAACCCCAAACCCCAAACCCCAAACCCCAAACCCTAAACCCTAAACCCTACACCCTAAGCCCTAAACCCTAAACCCTAAACCCTAAACCCTAAACCAGAGCAGGAAGCTGCAGCACGTGCACCAGGGAGACGAGGCCAAGGACGCCGCAGCCTGCCAGGCCGCGAGGGGAACCGCTCCCTCCCCCTAAGCCCTGCAGCAGGGTTCGGGGGTTTAGGGTTTAGGGTTTAGGGTTTAGGGTTTACAGTTTAGGGTTTACGGTTTAGGGTTTAGGGTTAGGGTTTGGGTTTGGGGTTTGGGTTTTAGGGTCTAGCAGGGTTTGGGGTTTGGAGGCTTGAGGGTGTAGGTTTTTGGTTTTACTGGCGTTTCATGGGTAGTTGCAAGTCGGGTTATAAGTACCCCAAGTATGGTTGTCCATAGGTATATCTATAGATATCCTACTCCTGCATAGTAGACTTGTGGTACTTTACTGCAACTTTAGATCCTTACCTTTTTTGGGTTTATTGGGTTTCTTATTAAGGCAGCTAAAAGTCTAATTTATAGCTACCCTCCTGAGTGCAGCCAAGTAGAGAAGTTGAGCGCTGTGCTGTGTACGGGGCATGCCGGGAACCCAGCGTTTAGTTCATCAGGCCCTACATCTCAGGGCTTGGAAGCCCTAAACCCTAAACCCTAAACCCTAAACCCTAAACCCTAAACCCTAAACCCTAAACCCTTCTGATTTCCAAACCCTAAACCGCCCGAACCTCGAGCGAATAGCCCCACGCCCGAGCCCCTCAGGGGCTTACCCTCAAGTGAAGCCTTGGCGTTGAGGGTTTTGAGTTTAGTTCATCAAGCCCTACATCTCAGGGCTTGGAAGCCCTAAACCCTAAACCCTAAACCCTAAACCCTAAACCCTAAACCCTAAACCCTAAACTTACCCTCAAGTGAAGCCTTGCTGCTTCACGCCAAACCCTGAGCCCTTGGCCCTGAAGCCCTAAATCTCAACGGATGGTACCCCATCCTTGTTTGTGCCCACCCCCCCCCCCCCGCCCACAGCAGGAAAGCGCTACACTCAACAGAGGGGACGCGCAGGGCCTTAAGGGCAGCCTGCAGGTTCTCTTCGTGACACTAAACCCCCTACGCCTAAACCTTGAAGCCCTAAACCCTAAACCCTAAACCCTAAACCCTAAACCCTAAACCCTAAACCCTAAACCCTGGTCCAGGAAATGTGCCGCCACGGCTGGATGCGCTGCGCTGGCTTCGAGTGGCATGGGAAACCGTCGGGCGGGAGGCAGGGTTTCGGGTTTAGGGTGTAGGGGTTTAGGGGTTTAGGGGTTTAGGGGTTTAGGGTTTTAGGGGTTTAGGGGTTTAGGGGTTTAGGGGTTTCGGCGTTTAGGGGTTTAGTGGTTTAGGGTTTTGGGTCTGCGGTTTTGGGCTTTTCGGGGTTTTGGGGGTCGTCTGTTGGGGGGTTTTCGGGTCTTAGGGTTTAGGGTTTTAGAATTCAGGGTTTCAGGTTTGTTTTTGGGTTTTCGGGTTTTAGGGTTTTAGGGTTTTAGGGTTTTAGGGTTTTTAGGGTTTTTAGGGTTTTAGGGTTTTAAGGGTTTTAGGGTTTTAGGGTTTTAAGGGTTTTAGGGTTTTAGGGTTTTAGGGTTTTAGGTTTTTTAGAGTTTTTAGGGTTTTGGGGTTTACTGGTTTAGGGTTTACGCAGACGCTGAGCCCTGAACCAGCATGGCGGAGAGGCTGCTGTTGTTGCAGTTGGGTGCCTTCACCCAACCCGCAGAGGCACCCATCTCCCCTGAACCCCTGAAATGGTTCAGGGTTTAGGGTTTAGGGTTTAGGGTTTAGGGTTTAGGGCATAGGGTTTAGGGTTTAGGGTTTAGGGTTTAGGGTTTAGGGTTTGGAGTTTAGGGTTTAGGGTTTCGGGTTTAGGGTTTGGAGTTGCCCAACAACCCCTAAGCACTGAGCCTTGCCCCTAATTGCCCTAGCCTATGTTACCCTTATTGCTCCCGAAGCCCCAAACCCTGGGTTTAGGGTTTAGGGTTTAGGGTTTAGGGTTTAGGGTTTAGGGTTTAGGGTTTAGGGTTTAGGGTTTAGGGTTTAGGGTTTAGGGTTTACCTAAATCCCTCCCACTTCAAGGCTCAAGGGTTCTGTAAAATGTTTGCCCGTACTTATAAGCACCCTAAGTCCCCCCTAAGCAGGTTAGAAGTCGACGTATAACTGGGATCCCCAGTATCCATGGACCCTAAGCCCTAGACCCGAAACCCTAAACCCGAAACCCTAAGCCCTAGACCCTAAACCCTAATTAAGGGCCCATACTTGGAACCCTAGAAAGCCAAAAAAAGGTGCGTGCACCTGTGGGCCAAGCAACTGGGCCATGAACCCACTGCCAGCTCCAACGCCGCCAGGCCCAGTTTGTTTGGGGTTGGGTTTAGGGTGTAGGGTGTAGGGTGTAGGGTGTAGGGTGTAGGGTGTAGGGTGTAGGGTGTGGCGTGTAGGGTGTACGGTTTAGGGCTTGAATGGAAACGGTCTGCTCTTCTGTTCGAGCTCGAACGAGGGTGCTCTCTGCGAAATGCCACGATTCAATCACATTGCAGACCCCAAAACCCTCCCAAAACCCTCAAACCAACCGCCCAAACCCTAAACCCTAGACCCTAAACGTGGGATGTTCCCCCTTACGGGGATGCTATAATCCCCATTTATTGCTGTTAGTTTGAGGGGGAACATGTCAACCTTTAAGCCCTAAGCCCAGGTCACCTGCTTCGTGGGACGCAAGCCTCGCAACCCACGGGATCCGCACCACCGCCCGCGGCCGCGCGGGGCGATCTACCTGCGCATGCAGCGCTACCAGATGCGAGGTTTCCGTAAAGGGTTGAGGGTTTCGGGCTTAGGGACCCTAAGCCCCACTCAGCCCCCGAAAAAAGACCGAAAACTTAGAAGCGACTCCCTCACAGGACCTTTGGCGATGCTCCGCTCTCTCCTGAAGCTCGGACGGCTGGTTACGGGGGGGTTGTTTATGGTTTAGGGTTTAGGGTTACCCAAAGCCCTAAACCCATGTGTTTTGGGGTTATACCAAACAATTCGGGGTTGTGCCCCTTGTGGGGTCCTGTACACTGGCGATTCTAGCGCTGGGGCCTGTTGTTAGGGGTACTCCGTTTTAGGGGAATGCTCCCAATCTTTGGCTTTTTCAGGGGTTTAAGTTTGTTTTTGCTTAATCCCTTCCCCCTAATACTAAAACCCCCCCCCCCCCCCTAATTCTGAAATTCGTCTGGGCCCGAAAAAATATTTAAAATTAGGGGGGGTCTAAATCCTAAAACCTGAATTCCGAAACCTAATAATGGCTCAACTCAAGAACTCAAGGGCGAAGGCCCTCAACCCCCCCCCCTAATTCTCAAACAGGTTTAGTATTGGGCTGGCTGCCGGGGGGGTCCGGGGAAAATAATATTTAAAATTAGGGGGGGTTTTAGTATTAGGGGGAAGGGATTAATCATGGGGTGTTGGAGGCGGCTACAGGCGGGAACCTTTGCGAGGACCCTTAGCCCTAAACCCCAAACCCTAAACCCTAAACCCCAAACCCTAAACCCTAAACTAGTTTCGTGCATGACGTTGCCGCATGCTTTTGCTCAAAGAGTCTGTAGGGGCGCGGTGGGGGGTCCGGGCGTTGGTGGCCGGGTGGGCGGCGACCTGCCCGGCGTCAAGGCTCGGAAAACTTGACGTGTGAGAGGGACAGAGAGAGAGAGAGAGAGAGAGAGAGAGTCAGAGAGAGAGAGAGGGAGAGGGAGAGGGAGAGAGAGAGAGGGAGGGGGGAGTGAGAGAGAGCTGGAAAAAAAAAACGTGTTCGTCAGGCTACAAGGTGGACGGCGAGTACCTCGATGACGGTAATTCCTCCTGCACCTGCTTGTGCTTGCTGTGTGTTTCTTGTATGTGAGTAAGAGTGACAGTGAGAGTGAGAGTGAGAGAGAAAGAGAGAGAAAGAGAGAGAGAACTGCAAGTGACATGGCGAGAAGGCTAAGCCAAGGACCTTCAGGAGCGGGTTTAGGGAGGCTAGTACAAAAAAAAGGATGTAGGTTTAATTGGCCTCCTTTTTTTTCTTTTGTACTTTTTTCGTGCTCTTCGCACTTGACGAGGCTTTCGAGACTCTGCTAGGGTTGCACGAGGGGTGGGCGCAGCAGCGGGGTAGTGGTAGTAGTAATAGTAGTAGTAATAATAACAATACTAATAATAATAGTAGTAATAATTGATCTTGTAATAATAATAATCGTAATAATAAAAATAAAAACAAACTAAACTGGAAATATAAATAATAAGAAGGGTTTAGACTTTGGGGTTTAGGGTTTTCTTCTTATATGATCATTCATGCATTCTACAATATAAATTTATGAAAGATTGACCATATAGAATTATAGATCCTATCGATATGGATATATAGAAAATCGAATAATGAATTCTGAGGCTTCAAAATCATCCTTCCATATTGATAAAACCTCAATTTTAAAAATGTATTCGAGAGAGAAGAGAGAAGAAAGAAGAAAGAAGAGAGAAGAGAGAAGAGAGAAGGGAGAAGAGACAAAAGAGAAGAGATAAGAGAGAAGAGATAAGAGAGAAGAGAGAAGAAAGAAGAGAGAAGAGAGAAGAGAGAAGAGAACAATGAATCATGATCATTCAGAGAGACTCGATCAATCGGACCAAAATTCTGAGAGAGACACAAAGAGAGAGAAAGAGAGAGAAAGAGAGAGAGAGAGAGAGAGAGAGAGAGAGAGAGAGAGAGAGAGAGAGAGAGAGAGAGAGAGAGAGAGAAGAGTATAAGAAAGAGTGAGTGGGAAATGCTCTAAAGCACCTGAGGTAAGTGTGGAGGAGCCAGAGACCGTCGTGACCTGAGTGGGCGTTGAGAGACGGAGAGGGTTGTGGCGCCCTTTCAGCCTAACACTATAAATTTTTAAATCAATTAAATTCCGAAAACATTGCAAAAACAATGGGTTTGAAAATGCAGAAACAATGGGTCCGAAAATGGGTTTCGGAAAAATATTGGTCCGAAAATGGGTCGGAAAATGGGCTCGAAGGTTGGCGGAACTCATTTTCGGACACGGTTTGGACTGGACACATTTTGGAACCGATTTTCGGATACATTTTGTCTTGATCTTTAATTAAAAACCGAAGCAAACCCATTTTCGGACACATTTTCGGACCCATTTTCGGACACATTTTTGAGCCAATTTTCGGACCCATTTTCGGACCCATTTTTCTCTTGATTCCTAATAAAAAACAGAAACAAACCCATTTTCAAACCCATTTTCGGACCCATTTTTGAAGTCATTTTTGGACCCATTTTCAGATCCATGTATCTCTTCACTCTTCACCTAAAAAAAAACAGAGGAAACCCATTTTCGGACTCATTTTTGAACCCAGTTTTGAACTCATTTTCGGACTCATTATCGGACCCATTTTTTTGCCGAAACCCATTTCCGGAGCCATTGTTGAGCCCTCTTTTTCAACCCATTTTCGGCCACTTTTTTTTTTGTCGAAATCCATATTCGGACCCATGTTTTTGCAGATTCGAATTCATTGTTTTTGCATTGTTTTCGGAATTTAATTATTTGCAGCATTTAAAACCTTAGGCTGCTAAGGGGCGCCACAAGGAGAGGGAGTATGAGAAAGAGTGAGCGAGAAATGCTGTAAAGGTGCTGAGGAGCAGAAGCGTGAGGACTGAGCCGAGTGGGCGTTGAGAGACATGAAGAGGGAGGGAGGGAGAGGGAGAGGGAGAGAGAGAGAGAGAGAGAGAGAGAGAGAGAGAGAGAGAGAGAGAGAGAGAGAGAGAGAGAGAGAGGAGAGAGAGAGAGAGAGAGAGAGAGAGAGAGAGAGAGAGAGAGAGCAGAGTATAAGAAAGAGTGAGTGAGAAATGCTTTAAAGCGCTTGACGTGCGAAAGGACGGCGCCGAGGCTGGGCACATGGTCATGTGCATGCAAAAAGAGGGAGTATAAGAAAGAGTGAGTGAGAAATGCTCTAAGACACCTGTGGAGGTCACGAAGCACAAGGACGAGAAGGCCATCGTGACTTCAGTGCGCGTTGAAAGACCAAGAGAGAGAAACGTGGAAAAGATAAAAGGAGAAAGAGATAGAGAGAGAGTGAGAGAGAGAGATACAGCGATGACGAAGACGCGGCGTGCA